ATTTATAATATTTAATTCATTTAATTATAACTAATAATTAATAATTATTTTTATAAAATCAAAACAAACACCCCTTTATATTTAAGCATTGATTTCAAAAATAATCCAAAAATGTTTTTTCATTAATTTCAGATATTTCTTAAAGTAAATATACATCCAATTCAGTGACCCTCATTTAAGTGCCTCGCAATTCCAGACACCTATTCTCAACCCCTGTAGGCCGCCGCTGCTGCTTAATGACGTGGAGAAACGAGGCCTCTGGGTTGGGCCCTCGCAGTACTACTTGTATTAACATTTAACAAAACTAAATCACACACGTCGTTAGGGGCTTATATAGCTGAAATCCAAAACAAGAAGTGGATTTTAAAGTTTCAACGACCCCTTTTGAAAGCTGTTAATTTCCTGCTGCACAGATGGGATATAAGTTACAAGGATGTTTTTAATTTGTGCTTTAAAATCATATATTAAGGATATTTTATTTAATAAAATTATACAAAGAAATATAAAAATAAATATTAATTTTAAAATCAATGTTACATAAATAAATTTAATTAGATAATTGATTAAGTAAATATTACTTTTCATTTTTTTTAAGACTTTTAACATATACTTTTAAGGTACAGGTTAAAAAAAACTTTAGTTATATTTAATATTTTATTTAAGAGTTTTAGAAAAATCCTTTGTTTAAAAATTATTAGGCATAATATTTTAAAATTTGTATTTATTCAAATATTTAAAGATTTATACTTAATACTAAACCTAAGAGGTACCCAATAATTTGTATATATACTTATGTATTTAGTTTAGAAAAAAATGATTTAATATGAGATACTATTATTGTGTGTTATGTGTTTGACTTAGGGTTAATTATTTATATGCCTAATTATTTACAAATTATTGTTGTTGCATATGCGATTCATTTAGTTAACTTTTATTTTTATTTTTTTTTTATTTTCTTATTTTTATTTTAAAAAATTATTGTTATTATATAGATATTAAATATAATAAGTGCATGTAAAATTTCAATTATATAAGTATAAGTAGCAATTTAGTTCAACAAAATGATTAAATAAATTAGATAAATAGTTCTAAACCTCAATATTTGTTACTTGATTTAATACTTACAGGTATATTATTTTTATACCTATTACTTACCTATTTTTTTTAAAATTCAAGTATGATACTTAAACAAAAAAGATACTTACAAATAACAGGTATGCCTATACCTAATGCTCACCCTCATCCTAAATAAGAATTTATTTCGTTTTTTTTACTGAAATCAAGAAAAAAGAAAAAACAAAAAACTGAAATGCAATTTGTGTAGTTTCAGTTCATGCAGGACGAACTGCACTACATCACTTTCAAAGAAGAATACTGGTCCAAAAACAACTAAAAAAAAAAAAAATCATCTCTCCATACAAATGTAATACCAACTGTTCTAAGTTTTAACTGTAAATCTCAAATCCTCTATTCCCACTTTAAATATTATTTTTTTTCATAATTAATATCTTTTAAAATTTTTACTCCCTATCAATACTTTATAAAATTTAAAATGCACAAAAAAATAAACTGATAATTACAACTAAACCCTTATTTACACTTTGATTTACATGCAACATGAACTTTAATTTTGAGTTTTTTTTTTTAATAAATTTTAAATTATAAAAAATGTTAACTGATAATAAAAATTTTAAAAACTATTAACCATAGGAAGCAAAATATCTTATGTGTAAATAGAGGGTTTAGCAAATTAGAAATAAAGATGTAAGCAGTGATGCAGCTGACCATGTCATGAGATAGGAAACACATAAATAGATCAGTACCGTTGCCTTCTGCTAAAATGGACAGAACTCAAAAACTTTCTACAAATGGGCAAGAAATGGGTATGATGAAGATGAACCCCGATTGTCAAGCCACCAACCATTGAAGGCGAATCCCCAAGGAGTGGGGAAGGGAACCCTAACCCACATGTTCCCACACATCACTATCAATAACCATTTCTCTTCTGACTACAACTAAACACCCACTCACTTTTGTACGGGGTGACTGGATTGGCATCATACAATCCTCCTTGTGCCACCACCGAAGGCGAAGGGTAGGGATTTCCCCTCCTTTTTAAGAAAGTTAGATCCCAACCCCACCACCCCACCAAACCCCCCTGGCCACAAGATCCACATCCCTTAGTGGCGAAAGCCTATTTTAACCTTTTGTCTTAATAAATTTGTTATTTTTAATCCTCTGCCTTACATTATAATGGTTTTAGTCTCTCACTTATTAGATTAAAAAAAAAAAACTTAAAATTAACGTCAAGTTATAATTTAAAAGGTTAGATCCCAACCCCACCAACCCCCTTAGCCACAAGATCCACATCTTTTATTGGCAAAAACCTATTTTTAACCCTTTATCTTAATAAATTTGTCACTTTTAACCTTCTATCTTACACTATGATGGTTTTAGCCGCTCACCTATTAGACTTGAAGAAAATAACCCAAAATTAACATCAAGTTATAACCTCCATGACATGACTGTTAACTTTCTATTACCTTTGTTCCTATCATTGCCACTTAGGCTAATTTATGTCAACTTGGCATGCCATCGTGATTTCTCATTGGTTAAATTCTCAAGAATGTCTTCTCCAAGTAATTCCCAAATGTCTGCACCGAAGGAGAATGAGAGTGTTGACTTCAACCATGAGGGAATTTCTCATTTCTGCTACTGTGGCTTGATATAATCTATAACCTAGTATAATGAAAGTGCCTTAATAGGCCATTAAATAACTCAATGTCTTTGGGAATTCTAACATTTTTTTGGACCTTTATTTTTAAAGACTATTGCATATATCTATTGTATTCAACCTAAAAAATAGTCAGCATTTAGCATATTCTAAATTTTGAGACTAAAGTATAAACAACAAATTAAAATAAGACAATAAAGCCAACAAATTCAAATCCATTCTATTTTAATATTTATACAGAATATTGATTGTCGTTATAGACATCGACCTATAACTCATATAACATGTCACATGTCCTAATTAAGCCATGCATCTTAAAATAAAATCTAAATGGCTGCAAATATCCATCTTAATCTAAAAAGGTAGCCATTCTTAATTTAAACAAACGTGTAACTAGAATCCAATATTACAAAACCCTAAACCCTATTAGTCCATTTTCATACAAAGTTTCTTCCATTATGGTCCATTGTTCTCCATTTTTGGTGCCATAGGTTTCTTGCCCTTCTGCTTTGCCTTAGATGGAGAGGTTGGCACCTCCGATAGCATTAATGAATTTCCATCACAATAGAAATCAATGACGGTTGAAAATATGGGCTAAAACCAACTTTTAACCCCTCACATTACAAAATTGGTAGGTTTTAGCCTCTAATCTTATAATATAACATTTTTAGCCCTTTACCTTACAAAATTAGTAGGTTTTAACCCCTCATCTTACAAAGTTAATAGGTTTTAACTCTCACCTTATATTATGACACTTTGAGTTCCTTATCTGTATGAATTAAATAAAATAACCCTCACTTAACATCATGTTATAATGTTCTTTTAGTTTTACTAGTTGACTGTAAATTCTACTAACTGACTGTAAATTCTGTTAACTAACTGTTAGTTCTGTTAACTGACTGTTAATATCCATTAGCATTCTGCTAATGGAACTAACAAATAAAATTGAATTTAAATTTAATGTTTTCTATAATGGAATGCTAATGGATGTTAACAGTCAATTAACAGAATTAATAGAACGCTATGACTTGATGTTAGGTGAGGGTTATTTTCTTCAATTCATATTGGTGAGGGACTAAAAATGTCATAATATAAGGTGAGAGGTTAAAACCTACCAATTTTATAAGGTGAGGGGTTAAAACCTACCAACTTTGTAAAGTAAACGGCTAAAAGTGTTATGTTATAAGTTGAGGGGTTAAAACCTACTAATTTTGTAAGATAAGGAGCTAAATGTTGATTTTGCCCGAAAATATGCAGAATAAGAGAAATGACCAAGTATCACAAATATATACTAGGATTCAAGTTGTTCAAAAATTAAGAAATCACCACTCACACTGTTCTAGATGCTGAAAGATGTCAGGACGGGAGATAGCCGTACAAG